TCTAATGGGGTCCATCAGATCAATATTATGGTCATAATAATACTAAAATGTCATTTACCTTTTCCACTGTTTGACATTTGCACTAATGGTGCATAAGCAATTGGGTAAAATTGCTGGTGCCTTTACAAGAATCAAGGTAGTGGCCTCACGTGTTGGAGTCACTACCATCAACTCACAGTAAATGAGGGAATAATCCAGTTTTACTTACAAATGTCATAGAAGTAGTAATAAAAATTATATCTCAACAAGTACACATCTTTTTAACACATTGTGTGACAAATGTGTACAAAATTGGAAGCACACATAAAGCACTTTGTGCTGTGTATTGAAATACATTTGAACTGGGAGCTGAACTAGCTGCTTTGTTCAGGCATTTTTATTTTAAAAGACAACTGACAAACTATGGTTGTTCAGACTTAGAGGTCTGGCAGATTATTTTCTAGAAAATGAATGAGGTTGCCAATAGCTCCTTGATACCTTAAGAGACCTTTTGATGGAACTGTGGGAATCTATTAATATTAAATGTGTTACCATTTAAAAGAATCTGCATTAACTCAATAAACCAATATATTCCAAATGACCAATGAATGGTGTCACAAAAATCAAGTAGACATGAGTAAAATTTCACTATAAACCAACAGATTTTGATGTTAACAGAGACAAAAGATTCTCTGATGCAGGTTTCAGATGGCACGATGCAATTGACCTTTAAGGAAATGCCACCTGTTGAGCAATGGAGTAGACCAAAGAGTGTTCACAATTCTCTACTACAGTACTCCTCCCTTTACAACTACACATTTGTGTGAGCCTGACTTTCTTCATGTTTCATGAAAAGAACGCAATTATCTGCCTGCCTTCTATCAGGGAGACATTAAAGATACTTACAAAAATATAAAATAAAGCCATACATCTATTTGTTGTAATTACAATTGTTTTATATAAAATGTTGTTTATGTGATATGTAATTAACCTATTACTGCTATTTTAAAATTAAAACTTCCAGTTTTAACTTACACACTTTAAAAACTTCCAGTTTTAATTTTTAACCCAATAAATATCTATATAATCCACATACACAAAAAATCTTTGGTTCTTTACATTTCTAAAATGTAAAAGGGTCTGACACCAAACGTTTGAGAACCACTGTTCCATACTATTTAACCATATAATTGTACTGCCTTATTCCCCAAAGGCTTGCCTTCTTCGAATTAAGAATATTACATTTATTTAAATCCTTTCTACATTATAACATATATAAATATATTTAAGGTTTTTTACCCAGTCATATTTTCTCCAAAAATTAAAAATAAATAAAAAATATATCAAGAACTGAAACTCAAATTACAGGAGTAAATACATTTTAATTATTGCCATAAGGTTAGTAGGAGAATCAACTAGACAAAACTATTATATAATACATAGTACTTTATCATAAAAAATATATTTTAATGAAGGTCAGAACTGCCCTACAAATTAAATTCTAGTTATTCGAATTATTTTTAATTACAAAAGTGTACACTGGGCCATGCATGGTGGCTCACGTCTGTAATCCCAGCACTTTGGGAAGCCGAGGAGAGCAGATTGCCTGAGCTCAGAAGTTTGAGACTAGCTTGGGCATTATGGTAAAACACCATCTCTATAAAAAATAAAAAAAAATCAGCTGGGCGTGGTGGCACGTGCCTGTAATCCCAGCTTCTAGGAAGGCTGAGGTATGAGAATCATTTGAACTCAGGAGTCGAGGTTGCAGCGAGCTGAGATCATGCCACTGCACTCCAGCCTGGGTGACACAGCGAAACTGTGTCTCAAAAAATAAAAAAAAGTGTACATTGTATTGCATATTGCGTATCTGAGTTAGAGATTCTGTCACTAGCAAATGGTCTTTTAGAAATACAAAAGAAGTGCGTTATCTATAGGTGGATTACGGTGAATTTCCCAAAGACAATTTGGCAAAAGGCTAAACAATTCTAAACACAATTAAAAAGTCCTAAGTCATAAATGCACTATTATTTCTTTAAAGATCTTTAAGTCCATCCTAAATTGATAATTTTGGTAACAGCTTGTTTAAAAATAAAAACTGTTCCTACACTTAAAAAAAGATGCCTACAAGTGAAAGAACAATGTGAAGGTTCAAGTGAAAACTGTAAGAAGTGGAAAGCAAGTTCATGTGTCATTGCCAGCATCCACAACCCAGTGGAGGAGAAGAAGGACCCCAGACCCCACGGTGCTCATTAATTACTCTGGGTGAATCACAGCTTACAATCACATGTGTAATGTGGAACTCAGATTCAGTATTCTTACATCAATCTCTCTGCTTTTCTGTTAAGAACTGGGAAGTTAGGAAACCGTGCCAGTTGCACGGCTGAAATGGTAACACAAATAGCTGCTATCAAGGTGTTGGAGATACCACAGAATGAATTATCTATTTCCCTAATGGTTACCCACATGCCATCAATAATGAAAAAGTGTGTATTAATAGTCCTATGGGACAAATGAACAGTAACTGCCCATGGAGATGCTGGATAATAACTGAATAGTTCAGGGAGCATTTTTAACTAGGATTTGAATCTGCATGAGAAGATAGCTCAAAAATTATACCAGGCAACAACTTAGTAGCTTTTTTGTGCTTGAAATTCTTGGCAAATTAAGTCAATTCTGGCAGAAGTAAAATGAGAGATTATTGTTACTATGGAAGCCAACCACAATTTTTTCTGAGATTATAAATATCTGAAATGTTTTTTAAAAAAATCCACAAGCCTAAAACTGTAGTGATGTTAGAGTGATAATGAAATTCACAAAAAGTTTCCAATTTATAAATGGGTAATGTCCCAAAACTTTACCTATAAACTAGATGGATGTAGCTTAGCATTTTTGTTTTGTATAAAACCGATGTTATACAACATTGAGTATGTGAAAGTAAGTCCAACTAGAATCCTTACTAGAAGTGGCTAGATTCTCAGGCTAGCTCATAAATGCATGTAGTCCACATATTGGAAATACTACATCTTTACAAGAGATTTCAGCAGAATGTACTGTAGCAGGAGTTAACACCATGTGAAACAGTAACATAAAATGTAATAATGTATTATGAAATCTGTCATTTGAGGGAAAAGATCTTAATTAGAAGAACTAGAGCGTTTTTTAAGTCTACACAAAAAGAGGCTATTTAAAGGTCTCAAGATTTTTCTGGGGCAACTAAATAGAAAGATTTCAGAGTCTGGGTAATATATTAAAGGAAACAGAGAAACAGAAATAAATCATGGGAAAATGTTAGATCCAACAGTTTCCTGTACCTATCACTAAGTTATATAGTTAGTGCAGGGCAACATGGTTAGTAAACCCTCTTATTCACATGCCAAGAGGCCATCGATGTGCCCGAGAGGACAGCAGTGTGCCAAGACCTACCTGTAGGTACCTGGCTTGCTTTCATCATTCCAAGCTAACCATCAATGGGAGGCAGTGTGGTGCAATGGAAAGGAGACTGTTCTCAGGCATGGTCTGTTAATAGATAGGTAGCTTTTGCCAACTCACTTAGCCTCTCTGAATATATATTTCCTCATATGTAGGAGGAAGATAAAAGATTAAATTGAAATACTGTTGCGATAAAATGCCAGTGTGTTAATATGTGCAGCTACTTCTATGAGACAAAATTTACATTACTTTATTATCTACTATAGCAGAATATGTGAAATTAAGTACAACTAGAAGTCCTACTAGTTCTGGATTAAATAATGGATATGATTCCCTAGAGGCTACCACATCTGAACACAGGAAATAATCAGAGCAATGCCCTATTTGTCTGTTAAAACCAAGCTCAGACAGTAGATCCTACAGAAAGCTTGCCTTGGACCCCCACTCCCTACTGCCATCCATTCCATATTCTGTAGTTTGTGCAAACTTAGGTGGCAGAACTTACGATTACAGCGTAATTAACCTGCTTACACAGGCTGTGAGTCCCGTGATAACAGAGACTCCATCCGGTTCAACTCTACATTTTCAGTATGAAGCAGTGCCTGATGCATAGTGAGCACCTAATAACAATTATTTAATTGGGCAGCTGAGGTCTTAGGATATCATGACATTAACACTAAATGAGCAATCACAAAATCTTACACAGTAAAACAAAATTTTAGTCAAAGATGAGTGATTGCCCTAAGCATGAAGAGAAGTACTGATCTACCACCCCATCCCCTCAAAAGAGATCAGTGAAAATCAAACATCGACACTCAAAGCCAATATATGCATCTCTTTCTATACAGTTACTATTACATTGTAAACATTTGTTACATGGGGATGGACATTTTTGTGGTTTTGATACCTTGGGCTAGTAAACACTAGTAATGCATTTTACTTAAATGTTGACTAAATTCTACAGCAAAATTGACTTCGATTGTATGGGTGCTTTTTTGATGTTTCTTGAATACCCCAGAACTTCCTGCCAGGGTATTCACAGGTCTAAACCTGTTAATGGCGTGATTAGGTCGGGATTCTCCCTCCCTGCAACCTAGTGGCTAAAATTTTTCTATTTTACTTTGCAAGTCTGTGTGGGAGGGTGGGGGAGAGGAGGGTTGGATTTTAAGGATCGTGGGTTTGTACACATTACTGGAAATACAATCGACACAGAACACGAAGGTACGTTTCAGGTTCCAATTACAAAACGACACCTGGCGAGTCTCTGGCAATGCGCGCACCTTAGTTTCCAAAACAGGTTTGTGGCTTCAGTTCGCTGCACCTGGTGACGGGTGAGCGGAGTGGGGGCGGACGGCCGGGCTGCAGCCGGGACACGCACGGCGCCCCGGGCGGGTCCCCCACAGCCCCCGACGCTCGGTCCCCCAATACCCCCCCCAACCCAGGAAGCCGCAGGGGCCCCGGGGCTCTCCCCACCCGCCTCCCGGGAGGGTTTCGCGCCGGCCCCGAGAAGCCGGCGGCTCCCCGCTACCCTCCCCGAAGGCGCGGATCGGCGCTCGGGCCCCGCGGGATCGGCGTCCCGGGGCCGCACTTACTCAGACTCGCGGACAGACTGCGCAGTCGGCCGCGGGCACGAAACCGGGCGCCGCGCAGCAGCGTGCCCCCGCGTCGCTTCCGTCGCTCCTCATCGTCCTCCTCCAGCCCAGGGGCGGCTGCCGTCGCCACGGTCTAGCCCGGAGCTCCTGCGGCGCGTCGCTCAGCGGCCCCACTTCCGGCCCCCGCTCGGGTGTCGCCGGCAAATGCCCCCGCCGGCTCCCACATAACCTGTTCTCCGTCTTCCCTCCCGGAGTGGGAACCCTGCCCGTTCTTCAGAGCATGCGCAGAAGCGGCTGTCCGGGAACCTCCGCGACGGTGGCCCGGACGGAAAAGATACCTCGGCGCTGTGGGCTCGGCTCCCCGCCCCGCGACCTGGGGATCTTGGGCTCCCACCCTCCTCCGAGCACGAGGACTCCCTCCAGCTACGCACCCGCGACCTACTGGTTGAGGAGGAGCCGGGTCCGGGGCAGGACAGGCCGGGAGCCGGTGAGCTCGAAGTCCACCATCGCTCTGCAAGCCGCAGCTTCACGGAGGAATTTGTTCTGCCTGATAGGGTTGTTGGGGTGTCGCAGTGAGTTCCAGGATTTAAAGCGCTTCCATAAATATTTTTCTCCTTTTCCTTGTACCCGAGTGGACTGTCAACGGCGAATGCAGGTTTTGGGAGGCCTGAACCTTCTACTATTCGGAGAGCCCTTTTAAAGAAAAATAATGTAAAATTATTTTTGCACGTTTTACAGAGGCACACCACCACGGGAACAGCCTGTTGGGGCCCCTCTCGAGGCCTTGGAAGTGTTCGTCACAAAAACGGGCCCTTCAAACCTGGGCTTCGTTAGCTTCACTCTCCCCCCACCCCCGCCACCACCGTGCACCGTGGTGTACAGACATGTACGGATGTGTGCCTCCCCGCTCTGGGGCTTTCCTTATTCTATGTCCCCTATTTTATGCAGACAGAGGATATTTCATAAATTGGTGGTGGTGGTGGGTTGCTTGTTGTTGTTTTTGCCTTTTGGGACGGAGCTTCGCTCCTGCTGCCCAGGCTGGCGTGCAATGGCGCGCCCTCGGCTCACTATCACCTCTGCCTCCCCGGTGCAAGCGAGTCTCCCTCCTCAGCCTCCCAAGTAGCTGGGATTACAGGTCCCCACCACCACGCCCCACTAATTTTTGTATTTTTAGTAGAGACGGGGCTTCACCCTTTTGACCATGCTGGTGTCGAACTCCTGACCTCAAGTAATCTGCCCGCCTCGGCCTCTTAAAGTGCTGGGATTACAGACGTGAGCCACCGTGCCCGGCCGGTGGTGGTGTTTTCGAACATACGTATCCTGCTACGAGATCGAGAGCTCCAGGTCAAAGCTGGGTTCTTGATTCATAGCTTCCTAATGTTGATCACCGAATAAGTGCCACGCACTAAAATAGACCATTTACATAAATAAATTAATAATCATAGCAACTGGAGAAGATACTGAGTGAAAATAACCCTTGATTGTCTTTGAACCAAACAACTAAAATAACATGATAAAATGGAGAGTGGGTTTTGAATCAATCTGGAATTTGTCTGGTTTCATAATTCATGGTTCCTCTCATGTAATTAATATGAAGTCCAGCTTCTGACATTGTAGAAGCTTAGTAGATGTTGAACAAGCTACAAATGTACACGGATAGGTACCCTCTCATAAGATGGGCAAGTGAAGTTTCCTACCTTAGCACTGTTCATTGTTCCTCCAAAATAAATTGATAACTTAAGTGAAGAGTAGATATTCCTAAAACAATATCATGAGACTTTACAACGTCACAGATGATTGCAGGTAATCAGGCAACTTAGGTCAATTAGACATACAAAGTAAATAACTGAATGTTCTTGGGCTGGAAGGAACTCTTAAGTTCTAGCTCCATACAAACTAGCACTGAATTAAATGTGTCAGTTTTGAAAAACGAGATTTTCATACATTACACAACCTCTAAGGGCACTTAACAGCTCTAAAATGTTTTATCAAGGTCGATTGCAGCAAAATTTGTTTTAATGTAAAACAATATTTTATGTTAAAATAGTTCTAAAAGTTGTTTCTGCCACTCTTCATGGATAACTTCTGACTTCTCCATGGTGAAAGAGGACGGACTATAGCAAAAATTTCGGTGGAAACCAACAGCTCCTGGAACATAAAAACTAGGGTTTTTTTAATCTCTCCCCCCTCAATATCTAGTACCATTACTACATAATAATAGGTGCTCAATTAAAGTTTGTTAAATAACTCTATTTTTAATCCTTAAACAGATACGAGAAGAGTCCATAGTTGATTTCTGGTCATGCAAATGTTTATGTCTGTATTGTAAATTATGTGTTGTTATGTATTATTTCTGTATTAAGAGAACTCATACCACAGTAGCAAACATCATGAAAAAAAACAAACAGCTCTGTATAGTTTCCAAAAACCTATATTTTAAAAGTTTAAATGAAACAACCAACATTTTGAGTGGGGGGATGCCCTCTTCTTTCTTGGGAGCTTTCACAACCAGCGAAATCAGTATAGTTACCATTGTTTTACGTACAGAGAACAAGAATTAGAGGCTATCACTAGCCAGTGCACAAAGTGATCTTAGGTCTCTCTCAACGACAAAATCCACTGGCTTGTGGATCAACTGCTTGCAAAGAGAATCTGCTGCTGAGGCCAATAGGAGCTGTCTGTACTCGAGACCCTGACCAGGATCCTCCAGGTCCCGCCTCCGCAGCCTCGCGGAGCTGCCGGCCCTCCCACCTCCCGCTGCGAGCCTGGCTGCGCCTGCGTGCGTGAGCCCCGTGACGTCACGGCCTCGAGTCTCCCATGCGCCTGCGCGGCGAGCAGCTGGCGGAACCGGCGACTTCTGGCGCCAGCTTCCGGTTTAGTGGCTGTACCTCAGGCTTGACGTCAGGTGGTGAGTGTGTGGGTGGCAGCTGCGGGTGTGTGGGGAGTCGGGTGGGGGATGTGGGGTGGTCGGCCGGGGGATTTGTGGGACGGCAGGCGGGGAGGGGGGTCTGGTGCGTCAGCCGGGCGTCAGGTTGGGGTCTGTGGGGCGTCAGGCCGGGGTAGGGTCTGTGGGGCGGCAGGCAGGGTGTTTGTGCAGCGGCGGCTGATGGGGGTTGCCGAGTTCACCGCGCTGTAGCAGCGCCGCGTTAGAAGCCAGGCCTCTTGTTACTCATCTAGACCCAAGCCCCAGGCCGTTGGACGATTTCTCCCATTTTTGACTCCCTGGAACTGTGTTGCTTGCTTTACCTGCGTACACGCTGATTCCTTCTCAGGGCAGCCCCGCAGGAAACCGTCAAGAGCTCATTTTACAGCTAGAATCCTCTGGTTCACAGAGGTAACGGGGCTTGCCCGGGGCCAGGTTTTCACTCGGAACCCGTTGAGGGTTGGGGAGAGTAGGGGGAACGGGACAGAGGAATGATGTAAATTCCCTCGGGATTTTCCGTTTTCCAAGAGGGTACAAGGGGCCCTGGAGCGGGAAAGACTTTAGGCTTGGAAGAAATCACTTTATTTATCTTCTTACACTTCGTCGTTCATTAACCTTTGGGATCTGAGATTATCCCAAATTGTTACTATGTGCTGTGAAATCTAGGCAGCTGTAAACTCTTCGTTTCCTAGGGAAACACAGCTTGTCAAGGGTTGCATGAAGGAAACTTCAGTTGCAGTAGTCACTTCCTGTTTTTTTCCCCAAGTGCAATAAAATAACACTTAATCACTTTCCATGGTCACTGAATAAAACCTGCTGGTTTGTCTTCCTATGTTACTTCAGGACAATTTATTCAGCAAGTGAATGCATGATAAATCGTTATTGTGTACTAGTAACTTGCATTCATTCTCCTGAAAGCTTTGCTTATTGTTAAAGAGTGAAGCTTCTTCCCACCTTTTTATCTCCTTAGTATTTTGCAATATTTATGTTTTAAATGTTGCTTGGATCACCAAGCATTACACTATTAAAATTGCCAAGACATTACTTTTTAAAGCACAGTTTTAGATTATCTGATTTTATTTTCATTCTAATTTCTACACAATTTTTAACCTCATTTTACGCTTAAGAAAACTGAAGCTTAGAGAAATTAATTGCTCAGTATCACCCAGCTATTAAATGTTAGCATCCACATTTGAATTCAGATTTATTAGAGTCCAGAACCTGAGCCCTAAGAATCTCCTCATTTGTCTTACTGCAAATGGAATGAATCAGCTAAAATTCTCGGAATCCAAAAAATAAAATTAGCATGTAAAAAGGAATGGAAGTCCTAATCTTTGACTTTTTATGCCATTGTAATGAGCAAAAGTACTTATGCCTAGTTTATAGCAATTTTGGAATCCTTGTTTTCTGTATAGCCATTTTTAGAATACGGAAGATGCACAACATTACCTACATTTTGTAATTACAAAGTAATTTAAGTCTTTGCCTGGGATTTGTTGAGGGAAACTTTAACTTTGAGACCATATAGAATCTATAAATATATCTGTAGAAACTATGTACCAATACTTGAACATTAAAGAAATATTACTACTTCATTTTACATAGTTTATATAGAAATTGTAGATACAGCATTGTGTACCATGATGTACCCCCTTGAGGGAGCATGTTTTCAGAGCTAGGGCAGTGAACATACATAACCAGGTGGTGCAGTCAGTTATGCAAACCAGATTCAGGGAGAGGAAACAACAGTATATTCAAAGATAAAAGTTTCAGGGAAGTGCTCTCTCATGGGTTTATCCTTTGATCTAACCCACTCAATAGAAGTTTGGTTTCCTTTGTCGGAAATTAGACTGTCAAGTGCAGCTTTTTTCTTTATAAGACCACCAAATGGCTGTTGCGAATCATTGCCAGGACAGTCAGAGCTGCTGAATATTTTTAACCAAACTGTGCCTCACCCACTGTGCATGTGCATGCATGTGTATGTATGTGGTTTGTAACCAGCCCATGGCCTTCCCTGGTGTGCTTTTCCAGGAGTCAAATCTAGGTGTGTCAGTAATTCATTCAGCAAACCTCCTGCATGTCTGCCACTAGTAGCACAAATTATAGCACAATTTCTGGTCTCTAGAGACTGACAATTTAGTTAATGTAGTATTGTAATTAGCCATTTGGTTTATTTTGCTGGATACTAGATAATGTAGCCTTGTGCATGTGTGTGTTTCTCATTTGTTTGCTGTGATGGAGAATTGGAAAAT